GTCGATCTGAGACAATTTTTTTTTCGGGCTTCAAAAAAAGGCAGTGTATAACCTTCCTTTTTTACCAAAAATCGACTACACCAAAATTTCTCGGAAAAACACTTTTTCTTATTAATTTGGGTGCGTAGAATCCAAATCAATTCGTACTTTTTCGATCAGACTTCTCAATCAAAAGTTATAGACTAGATGCAGATTCCACTTCTTCAGGCTCTTCGACGTCCTCTAGTGGTAGTGGGTCGTCTGAGATTACCGACTCGTAGTTCTCGTCTTCCGCTTTACCTGATGCATGGGTACCCTGAAGAGACGTGGCATTTAGGCACGATGCTCCATGACACTGGACGCAGAGTTCATTACACTTCAGACCTACAACAAGAAGCATTATGTCAAAAAAATGTTTATAATTATGTATACGATTAAATAAAATATTTCATATAGACCTCATAGATCGCGAGATATCATCCAAAAAGAGCGAAAACACGGTTTTTGGGGGATGGTGGGGTGGCTGGAGTCTTTAGCACAGGGTCTGGGAGATGGGATTTTTAATATGTTGTTTCTGACACCTAACTGAACATATTCCACCAATTTTTCTTTTCCACCTCAAAATTGTTGGCAGTGGGGAAGGCCTACCTTAGTTATTAGCCATGTTGCGGACAGCATTTTCCGTTATGTTAGACGGCCATTTTTCCTTATAATATAAGTTTATAAGTATAAAACATTTTTATAGCAAAGTTAAGTTGCGGTGTGTGGTGGGCGTGTTCAATTTTGCTTATAAGTTTGAAGGAGTCTTAACCTCACTTTTATTTTACATTGTGTTAAAATGTCCAAAGTTCACTACTATGCTCTTAGACAAAAAGAAAAGAACTACCGCCAACTTAAACACTGCACAATTGTAGGTTAGCAGGAAAATGTTATTTATGAGTGATTACGTACTGCGCAGTGACACATTATAAGAACTTCATTTTCATTGGTTCCGCTATTTATAAATATATCGTACAAAAAGCCCTCATACCGTAAATTATTTCTACAAAAATTTATATTTCTTATGTTATAAGAAAAAATGGCCGTCTAACATAACGGAAAATGCTGTCCGCAACCTGGCTATTAAAGGCAATTAAAATAAACCGATACAACGAAATATCGAAGGATCCTCAGTATTACAATCACTTTTAACGACAATTTATTTTAATCTTACAAAATACATTTTATAGTTAACAAAAATGCATCAAATTCATGTCTGGGGCATTGAGATAATGCTCTTGGTTTTTTTCCCAACGATCTTGGTGCATAAATAACGATTTTGACATGTTTTGATCAAAATCCATGTGGTCCATAAAAATAGATCAAATTCATGTTTAGATCATTGAGATAATGCTCTTGATCTTTTTCCCAACGATCTTGGTGCATAAATAACGATTTTGGCATGTTTTGATCAAAATCCACGTTTTCGCCAAAAATTCATCAAATTCATGTCTTGGGCATTGAGATAATGCGCCTAGTCTTTTTCCCAATGATCTTGGTGCATAAATAACGATTTTGACATGTTTCGATCAAAATCCACGTGGTTGCCAAAAATGCATAAAATTCATGTCTTGGGCATTGATATAATGCGCTTAGTCTTTTTCCCAACGCTCTTGGTGCATAAATAACGATTTTGACATGTTTTGATCAAAATCCACGTGGTCACCAAAAATGCATCAAATTCATGTCTTGGGCATTGAGATAATGCGCTTAGTCTTTTTCCCAACGCTCTTGGTGCATAAATAACGATTTTGACATATTTTGATCAAAATCCACGTGGTCGCCAAAAATGCATCAAATTCATGTCTTGGGCATTGAGATAATGCGCCTAGTCTTTTCCCAACGATCTTGGTGCATAAATAACAATTTTGACATGTTTTGATCAAAATCCACGTGGTCGCCAAAAATGCATCAAATTCATGTCTTGGGAATTGAGATAATGCGCGTAGTCTTTTTCCCAACGATCTTGGTGCATAATTAACGATTTTGACATATTTTGATCAAAATCCATGTGGCCTCAGAAAAATAATTTAACATTTTTGAATCACACACATGCGGTTATCAAACGTGCACGTTATCAACTCTTTCAGCATCAAGATAATGCGTTTGAAAGCTTTTACAACTCTAAATTCATGGGTAAAGAATAATTTTGGGTACATTTTGCTCTAAAACTTTTGACCGAGACCACAGAGAAGAGTTATATTGAATTGTTACACATCTAAGAGTCATAGGGAATAATCTAGCGGAAGTCCCAACCCGATACATGACCTAGGGAATGAAATATGTTAATTTTTATTATATTGAGTTCGCAGTTTTTCCTGTTCCCGATTCACTCGAAGTCGTATAACTTTTGTTCCTGTTGAACCAGCTTCCTGACAATCAATAGCGTCCGTTCTTAATGTCCAACGTACCCGTATACCAAATTTCAACACAATCGGCCACTTTTAAAAAGAGTTAGAGCGCACACGGACGGACGGACGGACGGACGGACGGACGGACGGACGGACGACAATACAAAACTATAAAGGATCTGAGGATCCTTAATAAAGCGTATTTATTAAACATTAGATTGAACATATAATGTGCGCACGACGACGACAAGTACAACAACATGACGGAAGTGACGTAAGTATTAATGTACAGGGTGTAACAATTCAAATGTGAATTATATCAACCCTAACATAACTCCTCCTTAATTCACATATCTATACTAATTTACATTCATCCCTTAATGCTAGGAATTTGGTCCTGCCCAGCCCTTTAGTTAACAAATCCGCAATCATTTTTTCAGAAGGACAATATTCGATATTAACAAGTCCCTTGTCTACATAGTCCCTAAGAAAATGATATTTAATGTCAATATGTTTTGATCTATTCGTAACTCTTTCACTTTCATTCATCTTAATTACACTCTGATTGTCCTCGTAAATTTTAATACTAGAATTAATTTGAAAATCGTTTAAAAGGCGGATCAACCAGAGTGCTTCCTTACATGCCTCAGAAAGTACCACAAATTCTGCTTCAGCAGTAGAAAGTGTAACACAGTCTTGCTTACGGCAACACCAAGTAAGTACACCGCCATAAAAGAAAATGAAACCAGAGTTTGATTTTCGATCTAGGCGATCTTCAACCCAGCTAGCGTCTGCATAACCAATTAATGAATCATTAACATTACACCCTAACTTGAGGCTTAATGCAAATGTAGTTTTGAGGTATCTAATCACCTTTTTAACTTGCGACCAATCATTTTGTGTGGGATTTGCAATCTTTTGGGAAAGAATGCAAACTGATGCTGCTATATCTGGTCGGGTACCAGTCGCAATGTACAATAAACAGCCGATAGCGGCTCTGTAATGATCATTATTTAACAAAACATCTATTTCAGTTCTATAATTTGGGCTTATAGGAGTGTCGGTTGGTGTAGCTTTATCTAGACCAAACTTTTCAGCTACCTTTAAAATATACATTTGTTGATTTAACAAATAAAAATCTTTAACCTTTTGAATTTGAATTCCTAAATAATTACTAATTAAACCTAAATTTTCAACTTTAAAATTTGATTTAAGTAATTCTTCAATTTTCATAACAAAATCATTTGAGTTACTTGCTACAACAAAATCGTCAACATACACTAAAATATACATAACATTAACTTTGCTCTTGTAAAAATATAAACAATTGTCAGACTTTGATTGAGTAAAAGCAGCTTTCGTTAAAATTATGTGTAATTTAATATTCCAATTACGTGCCGATTGTTTTAGGCCATAGATGCTTTTATTCAAAAGACATACCTTATTTTCATTATTTTTAACTATAAAACCAGGTGGTTGCCGCATGTATATAGTCTCTCTTAAATCGCCATTTAAGAAAGCTGTCTTGGCGTCGAAATGGTGTACTATCATGTCACGAGCAGCTGCGATGGTGAGAAGGACTCGTAGTGTGGACATTCTGGCAACAGGCGCGAAAACTTGATCGTAGTCGACACCAAACTTCTGGCTAAACCCCTGGGCCACAAGTCGAGCTTTGAACTTCGTGGGTTCACCATTGGAGTTGTTTTTAAGTTTGTAAACCCATCTGCAACCGATAACGTTAGTATTTTTGGGTAAATCAACTAATGTCCAAGTGTTGTTTCGAATTAACGACTCATACTCCTCCTCCATGGCGAGAATCCAACAATTTTTGTTGGGACAAGTAACGGCTTGGTTATAAGTACAAGGCTCGCCATTGATTACGACGTTAACATCATATCGCTTCGGGGGGATTCCTTTCGTCGAACGGGAAGAAACCCTTGCAAGTGGAATGTTGGAGACTGGCTGCTCCTCCTGTATGCCAATCGATGTCGAATTTGACGTCTTACTGAGCTCCTCCTGAACCTCATCGTTATTAGGTATGGAAACGGACGAGTTTTCTGAATGGGCCTCACTTCCAAGGTTATCAACTTTGATCGCCTCATCCAGGTAAGACAGATCATCAACAAAGATGGACGGCTGACTATCCACGTACTCGATTTCTTTTTCCGGTTCTGCGCAGGTAGTGATTACATCATCAATAGCTGGTATTGAGTCGATAAATGGAACATCCTGAACAAACTTTACATCTCTGGAGACGACAATTTTTCTTCTCTCTGGAATGAAGCACCGATATCCTTGCGATTCGTAATCATGGCCCAGGAGAATTGCTTCAACGGCTTTATCATCCAGTTTTCGTCTAGATTGGTCGGGAATCTTCACAAAACGTTTTGACCCAAACCGATGCAGGTTACCGTAACGAGGTTTTCTCCGATGCCACAATTCAAAGGGTGTGCGGCTAACCGCTTTCCAGGGAAGAATGTTTTGCAAGGCATTTGCCGAAGTAACTGCCTCAGCCCAAAAACTCTTC